ATGGCTCTTGGCAGCCTCAGTCCTAGATGGCTCCTATTCTCCCACCTGTGCTCACTTTTTATCATTTTGTCTCACTGTTTTGGGTGGGTTTGTGTTTGTTTGGCGCTTTTTTTTTTTTTCACATTAAGTGTGTCTATGGGTCTTCTTCACAGCTCACTCTGTGTACCTTTAAAATCCTTGATGTATCTTGTCTGCAGCTCTACCTCTCCCACTTCCTAACTAGGATGTTTTTCCACCAAATAGTCTCATCACTTTCCCACAGCAAAATTGCCACTGCATTCTGCTGACTGATTCCTGACAATTTACTTCTATGCATAGAGCATCATGCAATTCTACAGTGTGAATGAAAAAATATATGAATCCTCAATTGCTTACATAATCCTCCCGTTTCTAGTTCTCAAGAAGTTACTTTTTGATATTAAAACTCAAATTCTGAAGATAGAAACTTGCATTTTATGGAGAGGCAAGTAGAAATTTCTCATCAACTGAACAAGCTGAACTATGCTTCTGGGTATGTATTACAATACCTTCTTTGCATCACACCTACTTTACTAAACATATAAAACACTGAACAAGTGATAGTTTTGTCAGCCACCAGCTAATCAAATGAAAAATTATTAGGCTTAGAAAAACAATAAAAGCAGAAGCCAGCTGTGCATTTGTTGGATGAAAATCCCAGTGTCTCCCATGTTAGCTCATGTGCATTTCAATTTCTGGGAAGAAAATAATGGGACTTTCTCCACCCTTTCTCATGTGAGCCATAAAACAGATTTATTACCTAGGATATATTCTGTGTTTTCTCCTGAGGAAAAAAGAAAGTGGTGGAACAAGTTCATTTTTTTCCCTTCTACAACTAGGATTTTCTTTATAATAAACACAGAGCTTAATTTTGGTATCATATGGCCCTTCTATTTAATGCTCTGGTCACACTTTTAACCTTTCTAAATCTTGAATTGTAGCATTTTAATTTCAGTGGGGAATCTACAGCTGCTCCAGCTGTCTGAGTGTGAAAAGTCTGTCCTAAGATTCCTATCTGGTATGTTTTAAAGCAGAACCCTTCCCTCCCCTAAATCAAAGAAATTTAACTTCTGCTGAAAAATTATGGAATAACTAAAATTAAAAAAAAAAAAAAAAAGCCAAAACATTAGTCTATGTTTCTTTCCAAATAGCTCTTGCTCAGCTTTACCTTACGCCCAACAGTCACCCAGCAGCTCTGGGAAACTTAGGCTGCAAACTCAGAGGTTTAGGACAGGGTTGCATCTCATCTGGGAAGGTTTTCCTGCACAAATCACTATTTTTTCACTGTAATGGTCACCTTCTGACCTTTAAAAATAAATCATGAAACAGAAAACTTGCTGACTAAATGATTTTTTGCTCCTAAGACCTCTAATTTGCTTACAGTATGATGTTACAATTCGAAAGACCTGTGCTGGTAAATCCATTAATAGAAAAGGTGGTTTCCCCTACAACTTTCACTTTTGAGATATAGAAGAGACTGATTCATAATTTAAATGCTTCTGAATCGTGACATAAACTGGATTCTCCAGTTCAGTGGTCTGGAAACTTTCAAGGCTAATATATTCCTTTTTAAATGACACCCAGTAATACCTCTTTTTTAAAGTAAATCTGTTGATTCTAACATTTGTAGCCTAAATGTGGTGTACAATCCACTTTTGAGAGCTAGCACCTATTGTTTAAGGAGTCACGCTTCTCCGCACGGCAAAGCTGACATCCCTCAAAGTCCCAGTTCTTTCAAAAAATCCTATGACACACAAGCGTTTACACCAAGTCGTAAATGCCATTGAAACAATTTTTGAAATGGCGAGCTACACTGTCATTAGCTGCGTATAATTAAAATGTACCATAGGAAGTGCATTCATTATAGTTGAGAAATTACTTTCATTGCTTATGAATAGCAAAAAATCCATTCTTTATCGTACAATTGTGCCAGCACGCAGCTCAAAGGGAACCTGGTTTGCTTGGGCAAAAATTGTGCAGGGTTTTTTTTGTAGATTTATTTCTCATTGCTTTGTGATCACTTTTACTGCCCCACAGAGACCAATAATTTGGGGAAAAAAAAAAAACAGTAGCTGAAGCAGTTTTCAAGCTATTACTAATTTGAAACCCTTCATTTGTACCACCAAGTATATTCTAGTGCAGTCAAACTGCATTCTTACAAAGAAAGCATAAATCTATCCACACAGATTTTTTTGGGATCAAGACACTATTACTGCTACTAAACTTAGCTTTTTGCTTTATAAAGACATACACACAAACATGTAACATTGTGCTGAGGTTTCAAGTTTGTACAAAAGTAATGTATCGACATTACAACTCAGAAAAGGTGTCCAAAAAGGAAAGTTCAACCTTTTTTTTTTTTTCAATCATTAATAAGCTTCTCTTCACAATCCCAGAAATCTCCAACATTCATCTATAATCCAACATAGCTACGACAAAACAATTTATTACAGAAAAGTAGTCATAGTAGCTATTTCTCCCAGTGAAGACAGTGCTTCATAGAATATCATTTTCAGCATTAAGTGTCCCGTATAAGCTAATTACTGACAACTGACTGATTTACAGTTCATACTGCTCCAATGAAATAGTAAGTTGTTATGATTGAGCTTGCAGAGAAATAGTACTCAAAAATAAAAGGTATGCAAACACAAAATATAACATAGCCCGATGTACTACGGGATAGAGAGCCAAAAACTTTGTCTCTTTCGAATGTAAGAACGTACACGGGTCAATAGGTGATCCTTTCTTTGCAAAAAAACCCCTCACAGTACTCTAAAATACAGGGTCAGAATAGGCGTAACATACTTAGTCAACAGATCTGTTCCCTAACATGTTACAATTCTAATGCTTAAAAATAAGTCTTTACACCAATTAACCAAAACCAGACTATTTATCTGATACTAGAAACTGGCGTCTATTCCAGTGCGTGCACCAACAAAATTTCCATCTGCAGAAATCTTTATAACTGATAATGACACATCCAAGCCAGAACAAACAGATTTCCCGATCATAGGATATTTTTACAGCCAGAAAAAACTAGTTTACCTGTAAATCAATAAAAATATTAACAGGAGTCATTAAAAAACATGACATTACTCCAGTAGTTTCTTTAAAATGTAGTAATTTAGTTAAAAATAAATCAAATGTCCTCTCTACTCCATATAACTTACGCAGACAGGACAAATTATTAATGAAACACTTCCCAGTCACGCAGCCCTCTCTAAAACCTCACAGAAATGCTACTAAAAGTGGGGGTTGGTGGAAGGAGCTTTGGAAGAATGGCAGGTCACAAAGACTGTGCTAAAAACCGTAGAGACGTGCTCTTCAAAACGGTTCCCAGCAAAAGAGTAAAAGTTACACAGAGATTTCCACCCCTCCTGCCCTCTGTTTTTTCAGAGCACACACCATGCCTGGTTTTCACCTTGTTCATTTCAAAATGAAGCTATGGTACCTGGATAGGAGACTAATTTCTAATTTAAAGTGGTATGTAAAGGACTTGTACAAGGCATGTTCTTCATTGTTTCCAGTACTATTGAAAAGAAAACCATACAACAAGGGAACCCAAGTGGCAGATATCAGTATGCAGATGTCACCCAAGCACTGCGAGATGACACTCGGGATGCCAGCTAGGTCTGTGAAATGGACACAGCGAGCAAGGCAAAGAAAACCCGTTCCCCAGCCCTCTCCTCACCCACCGGCGGCCCGTGCGGTGCCTCCCCGCGGGATCCCGGTGCCGGTAGAGGGAGCAAAACCAAGGAAACCGGACAGCCTGGGAGCCCCGGCGGTGCCGCTCCGTGAGAGAGGGGCAGCTCACCTGGGGTACGCACGGGGCTGGTCTTCTTCCTTCCCCTTCAGTGAAACAATCCCTGAAAAATCCACTAAGGCTAAACTCTCTCCGTTTTCTGATAGCAATCGAAGTGAAAACCTAGAGACTCTAGTCATCCTTGAAATGAGGCTGCTTTTGTAGATTTCTGTAGGCTACACCTGAATAGAAGTTTGCCTTGTGAAATTAGGGTGTATTAATTATACAGCCACAGAACCACTCCGGAGGAAAGGGCCGTCAGGAGGCCTTCAGCCTGATCTCTGGCTCTAAGCAGGGTCAGCTGAGACCCAACCAGGTTGATCAGAGCTCAGATTTTTCCATATATCTATTATTAACAAGACTATGTTTTTCTCTTGTAAATGCTTTCAGCTGAAGGGTATTAAAGCCCTGTAAGTGCCCCTGAGAGGGGTCATTGCAATTTTGCAGATGCAGCTGGGGCAGGCAGAGAGCAATCACTGACCCACCAGCAGCTGTGCTTTCTAGGGCCAGGCCTGGGTTCCAAGACACAGCTCCCTGCCTCGCCCCCACCTGCCCAAGCAGTGTCCACGTAAGCTTGTTCACTATCACTTTTAAATACCTTAAAACCCACTCATTTCTCTTGGTCCTGAAAGCAAAGCACTGGGATTACTATGGAAGAGTTGTAAAATTCAATACACTAGAACTATAAGCTCCATTACTAGTAGGTTTGGTATTTACGGCTGATATTGAATATTTGATGGGTTGTATTCTGAACTCCAGGCTGTTGTGGTTTGGGCCGGGATGCAGCTGAGTAGCAGCTGCTGTAGCTGTGTGTGTTGGGTTAGGGATGGACATACCGGTGATCGTGCGCTGGTTTTGGGTGTTGCCAGCCGGTCAAGGCCTTTTCTGCTCCTCACACCCCCTGAGCGAGCAGCCTGGAGGGCACCGGGCGCTGGGAGTGGGCAAGGCCAGGACCGCTGACCCCAACTGACCCAAGGGATATTCCATATCCTGTGGCACCACGCTCGGTGTGTGACACCGGGGGAGGGCGAGGGAAGGGGGGACGTTCAAGTGATGGCGTTTTTCTCCCCGAGTCACCAGCGGGTGCGACAGGGCGCTGCTGTCCTGGGGGTGGCTGAACCCCCGCCTGCCCACGGGGAGCAGGAATGAACTCCTTGGCTTGCACGCCTTTTGTACCTACCAAACTGCCTTTTCACCCTTCCCGTCCTCTCCCCGTCCTACCGGGGGCCGAGCGAGCGGCGCGGGCGCGGTTGCGGTTGCCGGCCGGGGTTACACCACGGCAAAGCCCAAGGCGTCGGCGCTGCCGGGGGGCCCTTACGCGGAGCCGGGAAGTCTTTACACCAATTAACCAAAACCAGACTATTTATCTGATACTAGAAACTGGCGTCTATTCCAGTGCGTGCACCAACAAAATTTCCATCTGCAGAAATCTTTATAACTGATAATGACACATCCAAGCCAGAACAAACAGATTTCCCGATCATAGGATATTTTTACAGCCAGAAAAAACTAGTTTACCTGTAAATCAATAAAAATATTAACAGGAGTCATTAAAAAACATGACATTACTCCAGTAGTTTCTTTAAAATGTAGTAATTTAGTTAAAAATAAATCAAATGTCCTCTCTACTCCATATAACTTACGCAGACAGGACAAATTATTAATGAAACACTTCCCAGTCACGCAGCCCTCTCTAAAACCTCACAGAAATGCTACTAAAAGTGGGGGTTGGTGGAAGGAGCTTTGGAAGAATGGCAGGTCACAAAGACTGTGCTAAAAACCGTAGAGACGTGCTCTTCAAAACGGTTCCCAGCAAAAGAGTAAAAGTTACACAGAGATTTCCACCCCTCCTGCCCTCTGTTTTTTCAGAGCACACACCATGCCTGGTTTTCACCTTGTTCATTTCAAAATGAAGCTATGGTACCTGGATAGGAGACTAATTTCTAATTTAAAGTGGTATGTAAAGGACTTGTACAAGGCATGTTCTTCATTGTTTCCAGTACTATTGAAAAGAAAACCATACAACAAGGGAACCCAAGTGGCAGATATCAGTATGCAGATGTCACCCAAGCACTGCGAGATGACACTCGGGATGCCAGCTAGGTCTGTGAAATGGACACAGCGAGCAAGGCAAAGAAAACCCGTTCCCCAGCCCTCTCCTCACCCACCGGCGGCCCGTGCGGTGCCTCCCCGCGGGATCCCGGTGCCGGTAGAGGGAGCAAAACCAAGGAAACCGGACAGCCTGGGAGCCCCGGCGGTGCCGCTCCGTGAGAGAGGGGCAGCTCACCTGGGGTACGCACGGGGCTGGTCTTCTTCCTTCCCCTTCAGTGAAACAATCCCTGAAAAATCCACTAAGGCTAAACTCTCTCCGTTTTCTGATAGCAATCGAAGTGAAAACCTAGAGACTCTAGTCATCCTTGAAATGAGGCTGCTTTTGTAGATTTCTGTAGGCTACACCTGAATAGAAGTTTGCCTTGTGAAATTAGGGTGTATTAATTATACAGCCACAGAACCACTCCGGAGGAAAGGGCCGTCAGGAGGCCTTCAGCCTGATCTCTGGCTCTAAGCAGGGTCAGCTGAGACCCAACCAGGTTGATCAGAGCTCAGATTTTTCCATATATCTATTATTAACAAGACTATGTTTTTCTCTTGTAAATGCTTTCAGCTGAAGGGTATTAAAGCCCTGTAAGTGCCCCTGAGAGGGGTCATTGCAATTTTGCAGATGCAGCTGGGGCAGGCAGAGAGCAATCACTGACCCACCAGCAGCTGTGCTTTCTAGGGCCAGGCCTGGGTTCCAAGACACAGCTCCCTGCCTCGCCCCCACCTGCCCAAGCAGTGTCCACGTAAGCTTGTTCACTATCACTTTTAAATACCTTAAAACCCACTCATTTCTCTTGGTCCTGAAAGCAAAGCACTGGGATTACTATGGAAGAGTTGTAAAATTCAATACACTAGAACTATAAGCTCCATTACTAGTAGGTTTGGTATTTACGGCTGATATTGAATATTTGATGGGTTGTATTCTGAACTCCAGGCTGTTGTGGTTTGGGCCGGGATGCAGCTGAGTAGCAGCTGCTGTAGCTGTGTGTGTTGGGTTAGGGATGGACATACCGGTGATCGTGCGCTGGTTTTGGGTGTTGCCATCCGGTCAAGGCCTTTTCTGCTCCTCACACCCCCTGAGCGAGCAGCCTGGAGGGCACCGGGCGCTGGGAGTGGGCAAGGCCAGGACCGCTGACCCCAACTGACCCAAGGGATATTCCATATCCTGTGGCACCACGCTCGGTGTGTGACACCGGGGGAGGGCGAGGGAAGGGGGGACGTTCAAGTGATGGCGTTTTTCTCCCCGAGTCACCAGCGGGTGCGACAGGGCGCTGCTGTCCTGGGGGTGGCTGAACCCCCGCCTGCCCACGGGGAGCAGGAATGAACTCCTTGGCTTGCACGCCTTTTGTACCTACCAAACTGCCTTTTCACCCTTCCCGTCCTCTCCCCGTCCTACCGGGGGCCGAGCGAGCGGCGCGGGCGCGGTTGCCGGCCGGGGTTACACCACGGCAAAGCCCAAGGCGTCGGCGCTGCCGGGGGGCCCTTACGCGGAGCCGGGCGGGCTGTGGCGGACAGCCCGCCCTCCCCGAGCCGCGGCCCCGCCTGTCCCTCGCGCAGCCGCCGCTGAGGGGAGGCGCGAGGCGGGTAACGCTCGCTCCGC